AGTTTACAGCCGGGAACGACCTGTTTCGAGAAATGACTCGTCGTTCTGCCGGATTAGGCGAATATACGAGAACGTTTTCAATTTCGACGAGAGAAATGACGACCAGGACCGCGTTTAAACCCTTTCGCTACGGACCACGTACACTCGAACACGAAAGTAGTCTGACGTTTTGGGGTTTCAACTACTGAAATATGTACGGTATGTCTAACCGAAACGTTTCAATCTATATGGTATACGTATAGAAAGTAGATAAAATTGGTAACTAATTCAACGATATATTTGGTACTCACGATTTATCTTAATTATAAGCCGCGAATCATTAACCACCTATTAAATTTTGAGAGATCTCGAACGGAAAATTGGGCCGATAAATCAGCAAAGAACTCAATGGATCTTTTAAACCGTCGAGGTTGCCGAATGAACCGTTTCTCGTTGCAAAGACTTGCCACGATTTCGATCTCGCTCCTCGATCCGGCCTCACCTCGGATTCTACTTCCAGTTCCGTGCAACTTCATCACGGCAATTCCAGGCTTTAATGACAGAACTTTACTCGTCATTTGCTTTTCGACGCACGCCGAGCACGTTGGCTTTTACTCTCGGTAGAATTTAAAGCCGCCCCCACTTCCACTCGGGTGTCTCCCCACCACGTCTCGAAGCTTTTGAGGGTAACACAGGCGCGCAGATCAAGGGAGTATAACGACGGGGCCAGGGGGACTGTGGGCGTTTCGGGCTTACATCCACGGTGATTAATTTTGGAAGATTAACAAACGCGCTGGCCGGAATTAAAGGGAAAGCGGTATTCGAATCGCAGTGTCGGCATCGGATCGCGTTAATTAGCCAACGTCTGTAAAAAGGGCGGGCGCCGGGGGCGGGGTACGGGGCAGGAGTGGAAGATAGAAGGGACGGGATGAAAGACGAGGGATTCCAGCGACGGAATCATTCAGGGGTCTGAGCGAGACGTAAGTCCCGCGGATTGGCTGAGCCTCTAACACGCTTTTAACCCGAAGTTACATACATTCGCGATTAAAAGGAAGGTACTTTCGAGTTCCAAGAACGGTCGCCGGGGCTCTCAAAACGGCGCGCTTTCTTGGCACGTTCTCATACGCGGGCTTTCATGCGAACGTTACGACTATTGCAGTCTGGGGAGTTTCGAGCGAGAGAATTAGCTCGGCGCGATTAAGCTTACGCCCTCGGATCGAGATAATCGTTAGCGCCAAGTGATTTAGATACGGACACGGTCGCCGTGGAAAACTTTCTGCGTACTCGCGACGCCGTTCTTAATCCTGACAGTCGTATTATCGCGTGACAATAGACGCGTGCCGTAATTTCTTTCGGATAGGCGAAGCGAAATGGCTGGAAACGTAAATAAGCAGGCGTAAACGGTCTGTCACGCTTGCACGAAGTACCAAAAATAATCGTACGAGATAGAAATATAAGATAAAAATTAGATAGGATGACGGATAAGAGCCGATTCGTCGTCGGGTTCGCGTGGACGTTTTACCAGTCACTCGATCCTAACTCGGAATTCCCAAATCCTTCAGAAGCCTCGACAAGCCCTGACTACGCTTTCCCAGTGTCCTTTTTGCTTCGCTCCCTAGTCAGACTGACTACCCTTTCCTCGCGGGCCTTGTCGCTCAGGCCCGCTGACGTCACGTCTACCGAGAGGGTGAGCTTAGGGTGATGGTGTCACATTTGCGGAACACGTCGTAGACTTTTCCGAGCTTTCGCGTATAAATGGCTACTTGCCCGTTTTTACCGACTAATTCCGAATATGGCCACGCACGTCGCTTGCCGCGATACGTATAACAGGTTTAAGCGATAAACGAATAAAAAATATCGCTTTTTCCTGCATTTAAAAAAATATTTCGAACGTGTTACCTTTTTTCCCCGATATTTTTATCAACATCAGTGAAGGGACAAATTCGATTTATACTGGGGGTTTTTTTTTTTTTTTTTTTTTTTTTTTTTTTTTTTTTTTTTTGTCAAGATATATCGCTGCGAAGTTGCTCGAGAGACACTATCAATGTCGTAGGTGTTATCATTTTGCCGGCACCGGTGTATCTATGTATCCGTCGCACACGATGGATCGTGTTGCCGTACAGTGTACAACTATCGGGTCAGAGGAATTAGTAACTTTATCACACGTGGCAGTTGCATCGTTCGTCAATCGAAATTTTGACTTCCGCGTTGTTGCGTCTCCAGAAGTTCGGTGTCCCTCGTGGCCCTCGGTGGTTCGCGTTAATTCGATCGAACGGGTCTCGCTTACTCGCCAGATGGAACAACATCGCGTAACAAATTTCACGATAAACACGTTAGCCCGACAACGAGTGAAGCGAGTCCGGTGTAATTTATTTAGAAGGATGTTATTTAGAGATGACGCTCGGTATTGGCCTGTTTACCGTTGACGCGTGTCGGAGAGGACATGTTTGGTCCCCCCCTATTGTGTTTGCCGAAGTTATACAATTTTGTATTTCCGGGAAAATGAGACGCGAAGCGAGTGGGCTTGACGCACGGGTAAAAGTTCACGGCGGTGAGTGATGAGCTTGCGAGTGACGTGGGCAATAAAATCACAAAGGCAGATCTGTGGGTCATGCAGCTTGGGAGATTACGATGCACGTGTTGAAAAGTTCAAAGTTCATTTCATTTCTGCACCGCTGCTATATTCGATCTACCATTTATACCTGGGACCCTAGATTTTCCGAATTTATGGAACAGGTACTACTCGGTGTGGAATAATAGTATTAACCTGGAAATCGAGTTAGTTTTCGATTAATTCGATATTTTCGTCGGAAAATAATTGAAAGTTCTCAGTAAGAACTGTTCCTGAAACAATTAGTACGAATTGCACACCGAATTGGTGACATATTCGTGAAATTATACGGTGACGCGGCGAGAAAGATTCGTAATGAAATTAATTATAATTCGGGACATTAAGAATCCTCGACTGGGAAAAATTTCGTGGCAGAAACGATTAACCGGTCCACGTTCCTCCGCTATTTCGTAGCATCGTGAATGAATCTCGTAAGCAGCGCGTTCCTTCTAATTGCGGCGAATTAGAAAGCAAACTCGAAGCAATTTTCGCCGGCAAACTGCGTCGACGTTTCCCGGCTTAATCACGCGATTTCACGTGTTGCTATCGATAAATGGCGAGACATTGGCCGCGCGCGACGTATACCGTGGTAATCGGGAATCGACGGAGAGGCATCGAGCGATCAGTCTTTGGGGGAAAGTTTGCCAGGGCAAGGGTAAGTCGATCGTTATAGACGCTGGCGATCTTATTTCTGTCGAAAGCCGAACGTACCGTCGGACCGGATGGATTTTGAGTGCATTAAAGATAGAGGCAATATCGGCGAATCGGGGATTATCTTTGGACAGGCGATATCACGGACGAAAATACTCTCGTTGCAGTCGAACGGAGCGAACGGTTCGTCGCAGGGCCGTGTCCGAGGATTAAGCGAGAATTACCTCGGATTCCGGCTCTCGAATTCCGCCCACTTAATCCTGTTTCTGTCGGTCTACGTATACGCGCGCAACTTGAATGCCATTTTCTTGTCCGTAATTCTTTACCGGTTAATCTTAAATCCTCTGTTAATTGCGTCGTCGTCAGGTGCCCAGAGGCTGCTGCCATCCCCGGCCAACTTTTCTTATTACTATTTTCCTCGCTGCCGTTCCGAGGAATGAATAACGGGAACTCGCATTCTTTAAAGAGATTGGAGCTTGTGTTAACCAGCTTTGAAATCATTTTTTTATTATACGACCGACCGTCCAGGGGAAAATTAAGTGTCACGGGGAACAGCGAGACTTCGTGGATAATAAAGTTGCGAGTGGAAAAAGTCGAGACTCCGTTTGTTCCCGGCGGTTTCCGCGATTTTCCAAATTCCCTGGAATCGCTCGAGCGATAATTCGAAACGTAACGCGGTGGTCCGAACGTGGAAGGAAGTAAATTAAGAATCGCGTGTAATAATACGCGAACTGCGGGGTATAAATATAAATATAAATAATATAAATACCCCGAAGCGTTGCAACGATTAAAGCCACGCGAAACCGGAAACGATCCGCATCGACTGGGGAATCATTTCCAGCGGCGATCGAGAAGGATCCCGCAATTAAGCCGGGTTTCACGATGCACTAAGCTATTACGACGTCCTTAGAGATATTTTTGTTTGCAGGTGAGACGGCGTTGAAACGACACGTGCTCCAGGGATGCGAGAGATCGCCGGCCCATTAGAGTTCCATCCCGTGAGGCGAGCGTTGCCGAGCGGAGCGTAAAACGAACCGTATCCACCTCGGAGTCTTGCGGAAACCATAAGAGAATGGGATCACGGAGCCCGCTGGAGGGATGGTAAAATATCGGGATCTTCCTTAAACCACTCGGTCACGGGGAGCAGAGCGAATTTCTATCGTCGAACCTTCGAGTAAATATGAAGAAAGAGGAGATTCCCGGGATTTCACGAACCGCTGTTACCAGCGCGAGGATACCGTCGCGCCGAGCAGTCGCAGGACCTTTCATTGCCGCATTTCGCGTGGAACGAGCGTGGTCTGGGTCGTCTTAATTCCAGGTCGACCCATGCGAATCTCGAAACGACGCGAGAACGAGAAGAGTAGCGAGCTGATCGGACTGGGCGTCGTGAACACGGTAACGATAATCGATCGAACGAGATAGTATCGAGCCTCTCCGTGCTCTGGCCAATGCTTTCGCGCGAAAATAACCGTTCGAATCGATCGTTTCTCGAAAACAGAGCGCAGCGAACGTCGGGGAAAGCGTGGAGGAGTAGACGCGAGTGGCTGGTATAAGGACAAGCCCGACCCAGTTCTCGCGTTCATCGGTTTCATTCGGATATCTACGCTCATTTCCCTTTATCTTGGTCGATTTCCATTCCTACCGCCGAACGTCCCGTCGTTTCGCATCCTCCCACGTCGTGTACATAAAAATATAACGAGCAGAGGCACAACAGAGGTGAACGTCCCGTCGTTTCGCATCCTCCCACGTCGTGTACATAAAAATATAACGAGCAGAGGCACAGCTCGTGGGGACAACAGAGGGGAATCAAGGGTGAAAGGGAAGCGGATAGAGCGAGGCCGCGCGATATACCAGCACAGCACAGGCCGGTATAATCTCATAAAACCTGCAGAAGAGTCCATCTACGTGAGCGGTAAAGCCGTCGACGACGTCCCGGACGCCCGGAATTGGTACACCGCGCATTCGTGCCGGCCACTTTCGACAGTTGCTCCACTGTATTCCACGCGATAGGCGAGGGACGGTTCTTGAAAGAACCGTAGCCCATCCCGACGAATTTCCTCGGTCACGAGCCAAACCCGGCTGGGATCTCGTAAAGCGGTTCCCTGGCGTCCTTGGTCCAGGCGATATTCTTCCACGGGTCCTCTATGAGCCGAAGAAAGAGCACTTTTGTACCCTGCCGAAACCCTTTGCTCCAAGGTCTGCCGAGAATTCTTTAAGAAACGACGGAATTCCCTACGCCGAGGACATGTACGATTCCCGATGCATCTCGCGATCGTGAGACCCCCGAAACTCTCGACGAAGTGAATCGATTCCGCGAAAAAGTCAATTCCAAGAGAAGACTGTGTCTCTCGTTTATTCCTATGTCCACTCGCGAGTGTGTCGTTCGTTCGTCGCCCGTTGTCTGAACACGCGAGTCGGGAAGAATGGATCAAGTGCACGTGAAGTCGTCGAGGTCCACCTCGAGGAGCAACTCGACGAAAATGGCGTGCGAGAAGGCGAGCAGGAGGCTCAGGACGATCTTGGTGAGGGCGTCCCGTCTCGGCGTCTCGACGACGGAGGTTGCCAAGCTGCCCAGCGCCAAGAAGCTCATTCCGCAGAGAGATCACGGATGGAAGTTGGCGGTGTTCCTTCTGGTGATGTTCGGCGGCGGCGTGATCGTCGCGCTCGCCTGCACGGCGAGGAAAGGCTGCTCGAAGCTGGAGGAGATCGTAAGTAGTAGCCAGAGTGAATTTGCTAATCGAAAACGTCGGTTTCCCGGCCCTATCTCTCGGAACAATACGTTCGCCCGTACGTAAATCGCGGAAAGCTTTCTCGACGTTCTCGTTGAATTAGGATTTCGCATTCGTTGCGATTCGATCTTCGAGATTAGAGATTTCCGTGGCTCCCAAACGGATGTTTTCGATTTCTTTCTTCTTTCCTCGTTTACTTTACTCGGTCCTTGATACGTTACAAATGTTGAGATAAAAGGTCAGCTCTTTGGCAAGGAGCTTCGCGTCGTCTTCGATAAGGAACGTTCGCGATATATCTCGATACACCAAGGATATGTTTCTCGAATAGACCTCTCCTCGTGTATATAGTATTACTTCGATGCGATAATTTCACATGGAACATGATGAATAAAGTAGAATCGGGATCAAATATTTATTTTATCCGACCTTGTTTGCGAGTTAAAGCTGTTTTTATTGTTTCAATAATTCCCGTCGGAAAGCGTGCTTGCGTAATTAATTCCATTCAAATATTTACGAGACACACTTTCATATCTTATGTATGATCCAAATGAATATTTGCGAATGCTCTTATGATATTCCGTGAATTATATTGCCGCATTGCACTCGATAAGAGCAGCGTATATAAAATATTTTGACCGGTAATTTCAGCTAACTGCAAAATAACTCCGCGGTGTGTTATTTTTTTCGTTTTTATCGTTCGCGCCAAATTTGTGGCGGAAATTATTTCGCGTTTCGACGCTCGTTCGACCCAAGTATCATCGTTCCGACGTACTTCCCGCGGAAAAGCGCGGCTGGAAAAATTGAAAATCTCGCAGGGGAAAAAATGTGCGCGAAATGGGACAATCTTCTACTTTCCTTCGAATGAAACGGCACACGTTTTTCGTCCGTTTCTCTTTTTCTGCAATGGAAGAGCTCGAAACGAGAACAGGACCTACGAGAGCAGGGTAATTGAAGGCCGTTTTAAATCCCTTTGTTACGAGGCAACGTTATACATACTGATGAGGCGAATTAGGCGCGTACGGTTACACGGATGCTCGTAAACGAGAAAAAGTCGCGGAGTAACGCCGGTGCAAGTGCAGGGAAATTTGGAAGTATGGTCGTGGGTAGGTGCGGTTCTGCGTACAAAGGAGATCTAAAATGGCCTTCGATGATCTGCATTCATAAATCCTCGTACACGCCCGAACAGAGGACCTTTGTCACTCGACAAAGGAGAAAAATGCATCTGCTACCACTGAAAGCGAAAAAAGCGAACTTGCTCTCGAAATTATCCAGCAAATTCCTCTTTGAACTCGAAAAATTGAACCCGCGATCTCGAAAACCACGGAATGGCAACGGGCCTTTGAAAGTTACCTCATCGATGCTACCCGTCTGTGCCACGATCTCGCGATATTCATGTCGCATCCACGATCCTGGTTTAAGACCATACTCTTCTGCCGCGTTGTACCCAATGGGACGAAAATCTCAAAGCCGTATCCCCAGCGAGGTATCTCGACGAGAAACTAAAGATCCGGATCGAACTCCGCGGAGATTTCCATCCGACCGGGAAAATAACTCCCGTCTGACTATTCCCGTCCCGTTCTACTGCGGCGTTTCGGCAGACGCTGGCCGAACTCGTTGGCCTATAAGGAGACACGCGATTAAACGGGCTATTAACTCTCGCGCGACGTCTCGTTGCTTTTTCCTCTGCTCACAGTCGCGTCTCATCCACAGTCTGCTCATCAGTTGCCCGACCGCGCGAGAATCGGCGTGCATGCTCGAGATATCGACTAGCGCGTTCGTGCCAAGAGAGAAAGGAATAGGGCGAGAAAGTAAAGCGACGAGACTCTCGATCGAACGGAGAGAGTGCTTGTCCCGTGTAGAAGAAATCGGTACAACGAAGGGAGACACGGAACGACCGGGAACAGTAGGTGGAAGAGGAACGAGGAGCGAGAGCGCGAGAGAAGAAGGGACAGAGCGAAACGTAGCGAGAGAGCCGTGTTAACGATGTTTCGTGTAGAGAGGAGACCGGGCGCTGAAATTACAGATCAAGGGGTTTCTAAACAATTACGCTGTCGGCAGGAGGTCAGGCCGAACAGCGTGAGGTTAGAGGTTACGGCTCGCAGGAGCCTCGGCTTGCGGCCTGTGGCTGGTTGCGGACGAGGGTCGAGGCTAACAGGAAGTGCTCTCTCACCGCCGGCCAATGGCCGGGGTGGCTACATCGGCGACTGGCAAGAGAAGCAGCACCACTCCTATCCTCTGATATTCCCCGGGGAACGCCGGCTTCCATTGTCCCTTCAGGGCAAAGAGAGATAGATACGTCGAAGCAGGAGAATTTCGGAGGGTGAGGATAAGAGTGGGAAGGTTTAGCGGGTGCGGCGGTGGAGTGTGTGTTGCGGGCCAAGGCGAGCTTACCACGGCCCTCAACGGGAAGGCTGTACACACAGTGTTACGCGGGGATCGATCGGTCGCAATAACCACAACTTGGAAAGTTCCCTCTCTTTGAATGGCCGACAGGATTGGTAGCGATTTTCACTGACGTGGCACGAAGTCGGCCCCGTGATCATCGGGGCTAACCGGCTGATTGGCGGTCAGAAACATCGCCTCCGGGCCTCCCGAACGAAACCTTTCGTCCACGCGTTAGCGAATCGAACCCCGAAAGGTATTCCCTTTCTCTGTCCCCCGTTCTCTATCTTTCTCGCTTCGTCTATCTCTCTCTCTCTCTCTCTCACACACACACACACACACTCTCTCCCCTTTAACCCCGCTTTGCGCCACCAGCGTTACATCGTTCCAGAGAGCCCGTTGCTCGTGTCGAGCTGGTTCCTTGAGCTCGACTCGGGCCCTCGACGTATTACTCGACCGATGGACGTGGTCCCGAAGCAGGAAGCACGACCGAGATCTCTTTGATGTCGGCAAGCAGATCGGTCTCTGGGCCATTGCTTATATAAAGCTCGTTAACGCTATCTCGCTGCACGGCTGATGGACATGCATGTATATTCGGTTAGACGAGCCGAGATACGGGACACCGGTCGAGATGGAGCGTGAAACGTAAAGTAGGACGATCTCTCGTGTCGTCGTTGACCACGCTGACCAGTTATCCGTTCAGGGAAAGCGGGTGTCCGCGAAAAGAATGGTCATTGGGACACCACGACTTGGTTCACGCACGCTCCTTCGTCATCGATCGAAGGTTACTCGATCACAGAGGACGGGCTATGGGTACCTCTGGAGTCTCGTGGATACGGGAATTGCCACGATCTCGTAATCGCGGGATAAGAAGAACAGGGAAAGGGGGGAGAAAAATGGGGGTGCAGGAGGAAACAATAGGAAGGGTGAAACTGGACGTGCCAGCTTCTACTGGCGATTCGACGTTGAAAATCCACGTCTACGCCGTCAAATCCCATCACGGGGACGGCATAAATTTCTCCGCCGGCTGAACCCAACCTCCCTTTTCATTCCCGGCTCGCCTAGCCCTGTAGATACCTTCTCGCAATGTCATGACTCGCTTGCGTTCCCGCAACCGTGTCACATGGAGCAGAGAGCGGACATTTATGATTCCGTTCGTTCCTCATCATGCGTGGAGAACGCGCCTGGCTACCGTTCCACGCTCTGCACACGCACTCACACGCACGCGCGCGCGCGGACACGCGTACGGGCTCACGCGCGCATACACGTACGGAAGAATGTACGTGCACATTGACGGATATAACACGAACTTGGGTGAATACGCGGCTGGATGTATACTGGGTGTTTTCCGAAATTCTGGTCACGCTGGCTCGATCGCAATAATTTCCAGAAACCCGAGCCTCGAAACAAAATCTCGTTCGTTCAACGTCCCGAGGGAGGAGCAGGTGGATGTATATATTTTTTTAATTGGACCTGGCAGAGCGAAAAATTTGCAACGCGACTCGGGAACACCATGGGTGAATAGCGGTCAACCGATACGGGCGAGATGCGCGAGCATTAGCTCGAAAGTTCGACTGGTTTAATTTTGCCAAGGGATTCGTTTGAATATGCGAACTCTGCGGTGTGCTTCGTTGATCGTTCGCGGCTATTGCAAGTAAATAAACCATCCGCTCGATTTGTTTGCTACTTCATACGTACGCTCGAGGGAAGACTTTCAAGGTACGATAACATTTCCGTGGTTCTAACCAGCAGCGTCCCCGAATTTTCATTTTCGGGATATCACCGATTAAGGTCCTAGGTCTTGTCGCAATCATTTTTTCCAAAATGGAAAATATCTTTATTAATTCTTTATTTAATTCTTTATTAATTCTTCCCGATACACACACGCGCGCGCGTAATTCTTCTCGGATACTTTTGTCTTCCCGAGGAAATCTTTCTTAGATTTCCTTCGCGAAATCCCGTGCCTCGAATCGAAGGATTGGAACTTAGTATGAAAGAAAAATACGAGCCGCCGGATTCTACCCTGGCAATTGAATCGGTCGGTTTCTTTCCTCTCTGCAATTTATGTTTGTGTTTCGACGCTGAACGACACTTGGTCACGGAGGAAATTCTCCCTGAAGGATACTCGAATTAACTCCTTAAGCGGCGGGAGTGGATATATCCGAGGGAGTAGCTTTTTCATACGACGGATCGAGTGGATATATCCATCACTGTCTTTATTTGTTTGGAGGGACGTGATTGCCCGTTCGAGTGAGATCTTTTCCTTTATTTCCTTGTCGTTCAGTGCCACCACTGACGCCACTTTTCTCCGCCTCTCTCCGCGAGTACTTTGAACTTAACCTTTCCATAAAACGCATTAATCGCGTCAGCGTCTTCCATTTTACAATCCATTTCGAAACTAATACCGTATCAGGATTAATACCCTATTTAAGGATCCGTGGTACCCGTTCTTCTCTATTCTTCCCCTTCTTCATTTTTCTTTCCCTTTAAACGAATAGACCGTGACGGTGACGGAAAATTTCACCGTTCAGAACCCCCCGGAAATGAAAATAATGCGCGAGAGATCATCCTCCACTCGACGTCACTCGTGAATGCTC